GAATACTGAGCCAAATCCTCAGCTGGTGTAAATCTGCATATATTAATTGAATTAAAATCAGAGCCATTCCTATTTAGACCAGCTGAGGATCTGGTCCATTGTACTCACTAATATACATGTTGGAAATTCATGGCATGGCAGAAAAAAGGTAGTGAGTAAATAATGTGAAAAAATAGACTCTTGTCATCCTACCCAATGTGCCCCTTGCATACAGACAGTTCAAGCAGGGAGAACACATCACCTCTTCTCCTACCACCCACACTGGAATATCAGGAAAGGCACCACCTCCAAGCTTAGCAAGATTACCTAATGACCTCACTGACATATGGCCATTTAGCATAGAGTCAATGCCTCTATCCCCAGGAATGGGGCAGAGCTGGGCAGGCACAGAGCAACTCTACAACCAATGCCATATCTCTCAGGATTTGTTGTCTGCTCTATGGGTATGGAGTCTGAGTGGATTGTGGCATAGTCAGGCCACACAACAGACATGGAGTAGCATGGTCAGGAATTGGGCCCTAAAGAATATAAATATAATTTTCCATCTTCTTCACCTCTGAAACCTTTTACCATCTGCACTGTAATAAAGGAGGATCCAAAATTTTGTATAATATTACTGTTTCACTGTCTCGCACCAGTGTCATAAGCATGTCTTCTGGTTTGTATTTCTTTCCTCTCCTGACACCCCCAATATTTCTTGCATATTCCAGCCCTACAGATCTAGGAGGATGCATGCATGAATATAAATATAATTGTCTAATTAATTAATATTAGTCTTTTTTTAAAGTTGCTGGGATGTGGTACATTAGAGTTATCATTAGTAACTGTGGCAAATTGCTAGCACTACTATGATGGGTCTTGGGCTTTCTCTTCTTGGGGGAGGTAGGGGGTGGTTCAGGGCACTGTTTCTTGCCCCTGAACTGGGGTATTAACTGCCCCACTAGTGTCCTAGAGGAGGGGAGTGGAGAGGGAGGAACCCGGGTCCGCTCTCTACTCCAGGTCCCAGCCCGGGGGCCTTAGGGATAGCAGTAAACCACTAGAACTAGCGGTTCCATCCCCTCAGCTAATTCCCTCTCCTGCCCTCCCTCTGCACAAACCAGGTGTCCCTAGGGTCTTGGTCTTCTTAGCCCACTGCAACACTTCTCTAAACTCTCCTCTATTTCCCTTCAAACTGCTCTTTGCTCCAATGCCAGTCCAATCTGTTTCAACTCCTTCTCTTGTCTGATTGAAGCAGGGGGGTTTTATCGTGTGACTGGCTTCGGGTGCTTTAATTGGCTTCAGGTGCTTTAATTAGTTTATAACAAACTTTCTTCCCTCTACAGGGAATAAGGCTCCCTTCTAACACTCTTTTGCTGCCCTCTGGCCATGTTGTATCACAAAACATATTTCACAAAATCAACAATCCTTGATCAAGATGTGGCCAAGGGCATTTCTAAACAGTCACATCTTGGAAAACAAAGTCTGAGATGCCATTATTATATAGGCAATCAAAGCAAATTAGCTGTCTTAGGGGACGTTGGTCTGGGTGTAACAGAAAAAAAGAGACAGACAGGCACAGGCGAAGTAGCAGCTCAAAAGGCTGGAAAACGCTTGAGAGCTAGTAGAGGAAAAGGAACTTCTTTAACAGCTGGAGGAACAATTGGGAAGTCCCAAAAGCAGTGTTGGAACAGACCATAAAGCCAGAGGAGAATTGAAGAGAGCTTGGAAAATGTTTTATGATGAAACTGGAGAATGAAAATGATTAAGAAAAGCCAGTGCACTGCAGGCCTGAAGTTCACTTAGGGTATGTCTACACTACGAAATTAGGTCGAATTTATAGAAGTCGGTTTTTTAGAAATCGTTTTTATATATTCAAGTGTGTGTGTCCCCACAGAAAATGCTCTAAGTGCATTAAGTGCATTAACTCAGCGGAGTGCTTCCACAGTACCGAGGCAAGCATCGACTTCCGGAGTGTTGCACTCTGGGTAGCTAGCCCACAGTTCCCACAGTCTCCGGAAATGAGATTCAAAAGTTCGCCGTTCTTTTCCTGTCTACCTGGCCAGTGCATCTGAGTTGAGAGTGCTGTCCAGAGCGGTCACAATGGAGCACTCTGGGATAGATCCCGGAGGCCAATACCGTCGAATTGTGTCCACAGTACCCCAAATTCGACCTGGCAAGGCCGATTTAAGCGCTAATCCACTTGTCAGGGGTGGAGTAAGGAAATCAATTTTAAGAGCTCTTTAAGTCAAAAAAAAAGGGCTTCATCGTGTGGACAGGTGCAGGTTTACATCGATTTAACGCTGCTAAATTTGACCTAAAGTCCTCGTGTAGACCAGGGCTTAGGAGTATTCAGAAACGTTCTGACTTTGGAAACAGAGCTCAATCAAAAGCTCTCTGAACAATCTTAATCTGAAGGTACATGGTTCTGATGAGAAAAGAATGCAAAGCCATAGCAGAGTCATTAGCAATCAGACAAGCCACTGGGTTAAATATATACTGTATGTTTTGCCTTGTTCAAAACTTTTATTTCTGCCTGAAACCATATCTTGGTTATTACTACATTTTCAATCTGACTCCATCAACACTTAAAGAGAGGTTACTGCTGTAACATCAGGTGCTTAAAAATCTGACATATGAAAGGTGCCACTTATAAAAAATGACAGCCACTCACCAAGCTAGTGGGACTTTATCAGCTGGCGAGATATGCCAAAAGGGAAAAAAACATCAGGAAGGTCTATCAGTATTCAGGGCTGCAGTATTTCCCAATATATATTCTCTGACTGTTGTTTTCGCAGTTTTGAAAGGTGTTACAAGACTGTAGTTGAATTAATAGGAATGGTAGAAGCATTTTTCAAAATTAGATGGATGCAATTATGTACACAACTACAACTGAATGTGCATATGCCCAGTTAAGTCTAACTAGCTATTTATGTGTTCAATTAGCTGACATATGCAGTCACTACACTTATGCATGTAAATCAGGCACACAACATAACATTCATGTGTTGATTATTATACATCTGTGCCTACTTTGGAGAGGAAAAAAGCCCTAAAGGATTCCACAAAGGCCAGAAACTTCAAATTTGAAGATCCCATTTTCCTCACACAAATAGCAGTTTTGAGTCAAATTCACAGGAAAATACATGTTTAGTTTTATTAGTACAAATACAGGCCCAAGTTTTCAAAAATGGTACCTAACCTCAGGCACATAAATAAGTGACATGTTTTTCAGAGGTCAATAAAAGCAGCAGATACTTAGAACATCTTAAAATCAGGCCACTTTTATTAAGGTACCTTATTTTAAGTACCTAAATTTGAAAATGTTTCTCTTAGCCAATATATGGCATTCACAGAATATCAAGTGGCCATGCTTTACCTGCCTGTAAGCTGACTAGGGTGGCCAGGCATCTGGTTTTTGACCAGAATGCCCAGTTCCTGGCAGCTTCAGTCAGCACCGCTGACCGGGCCATTAAAAGTCCGGTCGGCAGCGAAGCATGGGTCCTGGGCTAAGGCAGGCTTCTTGCCTGCCTTAGCTCTGCTGCAGGGCTCCTTGAAGCGGCCACTATGTCCTTGCAGCTCCTAGGCACATAGGCGGCCAGGGAGGCTTTGAGCACTGCCTCCGCCCCAGTGCAAGTTCTGCAGCTCCCATTGGCCGGGAACTGCAAACAATGGGAGCTGTGGGGGTGGTGACTGCGGGTGTGAGGGCATAATGCGGCGCCTCCCTGGCTGCCCATCTGCCTAGGGGCTTCAGGGATCTGGCAGCCACTTCCTGGAAGGCACGGTAAGTGCCGCTGGGAACCCACACCCCGGACCCTCCCAACACCGTGCCCTAGCCCAGAGCCCCCTCTTTCACCCCAAATCCCTCAGCCCCCAGCCCCAGCCCATGCCTGCACCCGCACTCTGAACCCCTCACCCACAACCCAGAGCCCTCTCCAGCACCCCAAACCCCTCATCCCCAGCCCCAGCTCAGAGCCTGCACCCCGAGCCGGAGTCCTCACCGCCCTCCTGCACCCTAACCTCCTGCCCCAGCCTAGTGAAAGTGAGTAAGGGTTGGGGAGAGTTAGGGGGAAAGGAGTGAGTGGGGGCTGGTCCTTGGAAAAGGGGGTGTAGGGCAGGGATCAGGGAAAGGGTGTTCGGTTTTGTGTGATTAGAAAGTTGGCAACCCTAAAGCTGGCATACCCAACCACTTCAAGATTTCCTCCAAGCAGTGTCACAGATCCATAGGTTCCGTGCTCTTAAACAGCTCTGGAATAGTCCCTGGAAGGAATCCCTTTAGTGTGTTAACCCCCTTAGGGTCACACTCTCTCACTGGGATAAGCCCCTTGGTTTCATTGCCTCCTGGGACTAAACCTCGGAGCCTTCAGCACCCCTGCTTCAATCCGTGAGCTTCCCTCTATGAGTCCACCTGAACTGGACACCAGGGAAAGACTTACACACCCAAAGGGAGCAATGGACCCCTGACTTCCTGACCGTAGAGTGACTCTTAGCCAGCATTGTAAAAACAGAAGGATTTACTACATGTCTGGAGCACAGCATAGAAAGTCTTCAGGTTAATATAGCCCTGGTCTACGCTAGGACTTTAAGTCGAATTTAGCAGCGTTAAATCAATGTAAACCTGCACCCGTCCACACGATGAAGCCCTTTATTTTGACTTAAAGGGCTCTTAAAATCGATTTCCGTACTCCACCCCTGACAAGTGGATTAGCGCTTAAATCGGGCTTGCCGGGTCAAATTTGGGATACTGTGGACACAATTCGACGGTATTGGCCTCTGGGAGCTATCCCAGAGTGCTCCATTGTGACCGCTCTGGACAGCACTCTCAACTCAGATGCACTGGCCAGGTAGACAGGAAAAGAACTGCGAACTTTTGAATTTCAATTTCCTGTTTGGCCACCGTGGCAAGCTGCAGGAGACCATGCAGAGCTCATCAGCAGAGGTGACCATGATGGAGTCCCAGAATCGCAAAAGAGCTCAAGCATGGACTGAACGGGAGGTACGGGATCTGATCACTGTATGGGGAGAGGAATCCGTTCTATCAGAACTCCGTTCCAGTTTTCGAAATGCCAAAACCTTTGTCAAAATCTCCCAGGGCATGAAGGACAGAGGCCATAACAGGGATCCGAAGCAGTGCTGCGTGAAACTTAAGGAGCTGAGGCAAGCCTACCAGAAAACCAGAGGGGCAAACGGGTCAGAGCCCCAAACATGCCGCTTCTATGATGAGCTGCATGCCATTTTAGGGGGTTCAGCCACTACTACCCCAGCCGTGTTGTTTGACTCCTTCAATGCAGATGGAGGCAACACGGAAGCAGGTTTTGGGGACGAAGAAGATGATGATGATGAGGAGGAGGAGGTTGTAGATAGCTCACAGCAAGCAAGCGGAGAAACCGGTTTTCCCGACAGCCAGGAACTGTTTCTCACCCTGGACCTGGAGCCAGTACCCCCCCGAACCCACCCAAGGCTGCCTCCTGGACCCAGCAGGCGGAGAAGGGGCCTCCGGTGAGTGTACCTTTTAAAATACTATACATGGTTTAAAAGCAAGCATGTGAAAAGATTAATTTTCCCTGGCATTCGCGGCTTTCCTGGATGTACTCCCGAAGCCTTTGCAAAAGGTTTCTGGGGAGGGCAGCCTTATTGCGTCCTTCATGGTAGGACACTTTACCACTCCAGGCCAGTAACACGTACTCGGGAATCATTGTAGAACAAAGCATTGCAGTGTATGTTTGTTGGCATTCAAACAACATCCGTTCTTTATCTCTGTGTTATCCTCAGGAGAGTGAGATATCATTCATGGTCTCCTGGTTGAAATAGGGTGCTTTTCTTCAGGGGACATTCAGAGGAGCCCGTTCCTGCTGAGCTGTTTGCCTGCAGCTGAACAGAAATGTTCCCCGCTGTTAGCCACGGGGAGGGGGGAGGGTTGAGGGGGTAGCCACGTGGTGGGGGATGCAAAATGAGACCTTGTAACAAAAGCATATGTGCTATGTATGTAATGTTAACAGCAAGGTTTACCCTGAAAGACTGTAGTCACTGTTTTATAAAATGCGTCTTTTTAAATACCGCTGTCCCTTTTTTTTTCTCCACCAGCTGCATGTGTTTCAATGATCACAGGATCTTCTCCTTCCCAGAGGCTAGTGAAGCTTAGAAAGAAAAAAAAAACACACTCGTGATGAAATGTTCTCTGAACTCATGCTGTCCTCCCACACTGACAGAGCACAGACAAATGTGTGGAGGCAAATAATGTCAGAGTGCAGGAAAGCACAAAATGACAGGGAGGAGAGGTGGCGGGCTGAAGACAGTAAGTGGCGGGCTGAAGAAAGTAAGTGGAGGGCTGAAGACAGAGCTGAAGCTCAAATGTGGCAGCAGCATGATGAGAGGAGGCAGGATTCAATGCTGAGGCTGTGGAGGACCAAACCAGTATGCTCTAGTGTATGGTTGAGCTGCAGCAAAGGCAGCTGGAGCATAGACTGCCACTACAGCCCCTGTGTAACCAACTGCCCTCCTCCCCAAGTTCCATAGCCTCCACACCCAGACGCCCAAGAACGCGCTGGGGGGGCCACCGGCCAACCAGCCACTCCGCCACAGAGGATTGCCCCAAAAAAAGAAGGCTGTCATTCAATAAATTTTAAAGTTGTAAACTTTTAAAGTGCTGTGTGGCATTTTCCTTCCCTCCTCCACCACCCCTCCTGGGATACCTTGGTAGTCGTCCCCCTATTTGTGTGATGAATGAATAAAGAATGCATGAATGTGAAGCAACAATCACTATATTGCCTCTGCAAGCAATGATTAAAGGGAGGAGGGGAGGGTGGTTAGCTTTCAGGGAAGTAGAGTGAACCAAGGGGTGGGGGGTTTCATCAAGGAGAAACAAAGAGAACTTTCACACCGTAGCCTGGCCAGTCATGAAACTGGTTTTCAAAGCTTCTCTGATGCGTACCGCACCCTCCTGTGCTCTTCTAACTGCCCTGGTGTCTGGCTGCACGTAACCAGCAGCCAGGCGATTTGCCTCAACCTCCCACTCCACCATAAACGTCTCCCCCTTACTCTCACAGATATTGTGGAGCGCACAGCAAGCAGTAATAACAGTGGGAATATTGGTTTTGCTGAGATCTAAGCGAGTCAGTAAACTGCGTCAGCGTGCCTTTAAACATCCAAATGCACATTCTACCACCATTCTGCACTTGCTCAGCCTGTAGTTGAACAGCTCGTGACTACTGTCCAGGCTGCCTGTGTACGGCTTCATGAGCCATGGCATTAAGGGGTAGACTGGGTCCCCAAGGATACATATAGGCATTTCAACGTCCCCAACAGTTATTTTCTGGTCTGGGAATAAAGTCCCTTCCTGCAGCTTTTGAAACAGACCAGAGTTCCTGAAGATGCGAGCATCATGTACCTTTCCCGGCCATCCCACGTTGATGTTGGTGAAACGTCTCTTGTGATCCACCAGAGCTTGCAGCACTATTGAAAAGTACCCCTTGCGGTTTATGTACTCGCCGGCTTGGTGCTCCGGTGCCAAGATAGGGATATGGGTTCCGTCTATGGCCCCACCACAGTTCGGGAATCCCATTGCAGCAAAGCCATCCACTATGACCTGCACATTTCCCAGGGTCACTACCCTTGATATCAGCAGATCTTTGATTGCGTGGGCTACTTGCATCACAGCAGCCCCAACAGTAGATTTGCCCACTACAAATTGATTCCCAACTGACCAGTAGCTGTCTGGCATTGCAAGCTTCCACAGGGCTATCGCCACTCGCTTCTCAACTGTGAGGGCTGCTCTCATCTTGGTATTCATGCTCTTCAGGGCAGGGGAAAGCAAGTCACAAAGTTCCATGAAAGTGCCCTTACGCATGCGAAAGTTTCGCAGCCACTGGGAATCGTCCCAGACCTGCAACACTATGTGGTCCCACCAGTCTGTGCTTGTTTCCCGAGCCCAGAATCGGCATTCCACAGCATGAACCTGCCCCATTAGCACCATGATGCATGCATTGGCAGGGCCCATGCTTTCAGAGAAATCTGTGTCCATGTCTTGACTGCGCTGACGTCGCCTCCTCGCCCGGTATCGCTCTGCCAGGTTCTGGTGCTGCATATACTGCTAGATAATGCGTGTGGTGTTTAATGTGCTCCTAATTGCCAAAGTGAGCTGAGCGGCCTCCATGCTTGCCTTGGTATGGCGTCCGCACAGAAAAAAGGCGCGGAACGATTGTCTGCCTTTGCTCTGACGGAGGGAGGGGTGACTGACGACATGGCTTACAGGGTTGGCTTCAGGGAGCTAAAATCAACAAAGAGGGTGGCTTTACATCAAGGAGTATTTCAGGCAGGACTTCACGGAGGGTTCCAATAAGAAATGGTGCACCTAAGTTATTGTTCTTATTGGAACAAGGAGGTTAGTCTGGCCTCTGATTGATACATGGCTAGATTTACCTCACTGCATCTTCTCCGTGAGTGACTGCAGTGTGACCTAGAGGAATGAGTCCCCTAGACGGGGGAGGCGGGGACGCAGATGAGTACAAAACAAATCTGGTCTATTTCTTGTTTTGATCCACTCCATCTATCTTTTACATCTTTGGCTGGCAGCAGACGGTGCAGAAGGACTGTATGCCATCCACATCTCATGGCTGCTCGGCAGAAGATGGTGCAATACGACTGCTAGCCATCCTCATCTCTTGCCTGCCCGGCAGAAGATGGTACAGTACGACTGCTAGCAATCCGTATCGCCTGCTGCTCACCATAAGACGGTTCAATAGGACTGACTGCAGGACTAAAGAGAATGACCTGGTCAAGTCACTCCAAATTTAGTCCCTGCGCCCATGTCTGCCCAGGCGCTCCTGGCCGACGTGGCCAGGAGCACCTTTGACATGACGATGACGTCTACCAGTCCTATTGCACCGACTGCTGCCACAAGGCAATGGGTTGCTGCTACTGTGTAGCAATGCAGTACCGCGTTTGCCAGCACCCAGGAGACATACGGTGACGGTTACCTGAGCGGGCTCCATGCTTGCCGTGGTATGGCATCTGCACAGGTAACTCAGGAAAAAAGGCGTGAAACGATTGTCTGCCCTTGCTTTCATGGAAGGAGGGAGGGAATGGGGGCCTGACGATATGTACCCAGAACCACCCGCGACAATGTTTTAGCCATCAGGCATTGGGATCTCAACCCAGAATTCCAATGGGCAGCGGAGACTGCGGGAACTGTGGGATAGCTACCCACAGTGCAACACTCTGGAAGTCGACGCTTGCCTCGGTACTGTGGAAGCACTCTGCCGAGTTAATGCACTTAATGCACTTAGAGCATTTTCTGTGGGGACACACAAACTCGAATATATAAAACCGATTTCTAAAAAACTGACTTCTATAAATTCAACCTAATTCCGTAGTGTAGACATACCCATAGAGAGTTACAGCGAAGTCCATCTGGATCAGTCCTGAGTCCAGATTCCTTTGACCCCCTTTAGAGTCCCAGTCCAGAAGAGTGTCCTATTTCCAGCAGCCCACACATAATAACCCCCAAGGCCTTCACCTCTACCCTTTGTTCTTGTTCCTGGGCAAACACCTGACCATGGTCCTTAGTCCATTTGTTCTCCAGCTGGTCACCACTGTTTGGCGTTCTGCAGAGGATGGGCCCTGGTCATTAGTTGCTAGATACCAAATGGCAGGGCCCAGGCCCCAGACAGCAAGGCAACAGTCACACCTCTGGAACTTTGCAAGAGTAAACAACCTTTTCACCCCACCTAGTTAACCATGCAACACATAGGGGAAACTGAGACACACACCATATTCACACATACTATGATTAAATATTCCCACTCCGTCACAAGTAGCAAAATCCTTGGGTGGCTTAATGCTGCCATAGTAGCTCTACAGTTATCTCCTTTCCCCTGAGTCAGAAAATGTGACTAGGGAAAAGATGGCAGGAAGAAGTGGAGGGACTGATATTGCGGGAGGCCCTTATACAACCATACAGGATGGGAAAGCCACATCCCTTTCTCTCTGACTGTCTGGTCCTTTATGAGTAAAATATGTGTCCCTTCCATAAACAGAATAGGTGATATTTCTAACCCCATACAGATCCCAATGAAGCCAATGGATGTGTTTCCACTGTTTTAAGAGGGAGCAATCCTGGGCACATACTATATGGCCTCTTAGCATATCATATTTTTAAATGTATGTATGTATACTGTGACAAAGTTCCTGCTCTACCTTGGTGGGTCTTGTGCTTTTTGGCGGATTTGCTCGCCTTGGAGCTTCACGGCAGCCCTCAGCTTGGCCGTTTTTCTGAATTCTCAGTCCAGGCCAACTCCTCCTGTGTCTGACCAGGAGTTGGGAGGATTTGGGGGGAACCTGGGCTCGCCCTCTACTCCGGGTTCCAGACCAGGGCCTTGTGGAATGCAGCTGCCTAGAGTGCCTCCTGGAACAGCTGTGCGACAGCTACAACTCCCTGGGCTACTTCCCCATGGCTTCCTCCCAACACCTTCTTTATCCTCACCATAGGACCTTCCTCCTGGTGTCTGATAATGCTTGTACACCTCAGTCCTCCAACAGTCTGCATTCTCACTCTCAGCTCCTAGTGCCTCTTGCTCTCAGCTCCTCACACACACACCACAAACTGAAGTGAGCTCCTTTTTAAAACCCAGGTGCCCTGATTAGTCTGCCTTAATTGATTCTAGCAGCTTCTTGATTGGCTGCAGGTGTTCTAATCATCCTGTCTTAATTGTCTCCAGAAGGTTCCTGATGGTTCTGGAACCTTCCCTGTTACCTTACCCAGGGAAAAGGGATCTACTTAGCCTGGGGCTAATATATCTGCCTTCTAGTACTCTCCTATAGGCATCTGGCCCGACCCTGTCGCAATACATATATCCCATACGCAGTTATTTATCTGTATCAGGGAAGCCCGGGAAATTACTCCAAACCTTCAAACTATCTGTACCCTGTAGGATTCATACAAGGCTTATGTGCTTGGCAACATTCAGGGCACACCCGGAGCGTTGTGCTGGACCTGTGCACACACAGCTCCTTTCAAGGGCATCAACCTTGGAATCTCGCCCAGATGTCGTGAATAGTGGGAAGCCTCCCAGGACTGGGCTCAAGACCCGAGAGCAAGGAATGCGGTAGATAGAAACTGGTAAATAAGAATGTTAAACAAAGCCAGTGTATTCCTTTTATCTGTTGGAGAATGTAATGCGCAGGGGGAGAGAAAGAATAAAGGGGAAGGTGGAAAGCTGACAGGCAGAAGCCCGTTAGCAGACCAGCTTGCTTGCTTGCTTAAAGCTCTGTTCTGTCTTGTCATTGAACTGCCACAGTACCCCATCTGCAA